GTGCTGCATTACCTTGTTTTCCACATGCTAACAGTGCTGCATTACTTTTGTACACATACCCTTTAGTGCTTTTATTTGCTCCTCTGTGGAAAGTACTCTAAAAAGGAGAATTGTCAGGTTAAAGGATACCACTTAAAACACCAGGAAGTCACATGCTCATCGGCAACATATAAATGATAATGTTTGTATTGTCCTTGAAGTGGGAGGATCCATCCCAAATGTGGGTGGCACCATGCCCTGGGCTGGCGCCTTGGCCTGCATAAAAAGGAGGAAATGGCTGACCGTGACCATTCATCTGCTTCCTGACTACAGTGCAGTCTGACTGGCTCCCTGGAGCTCCTGCTGCTCTGCCCTCCCCACCATGCCGGCTTGTACCCTCAAACTGAACTGAAATAATCCTTCTTAGGTGGCGTTTGCCAGGTGTCTGGTCATGAAGGTGGCCAATATGCAGAAATTATTATAGTCCTTTTTTCCCTGTGGCTTCAAAGTTTTAAGAAGTTTTTTAACCCTGACATTGGTACTGTGTGGGTGAGTAGGTGAAGCACAGGATGTGCCCGTGAGTGGGCACACACGTTAGGAAGGTTGAGAACCCCTGCACTGGACCGTCTCACTGGCCCACCTGCAGCTTTTTGTCGGGTTGGTCACAAGCGTCTCAGTCTTCGGACGTTTCACTGTTGGCTGTCAGGGAACCTTTGTCACCCGGGACACTGCACCGTTTTGTCACTTCCTCTTTCCTTTCTCGGGCATTTTCTTATGTCTTCAACCACTGGTTCCACGTTTTGATTCTCTTCTGGGATTCTAAATACGTAAGCATTGCTTTTTCCTTTGACTTCCACAAGCTGCCTTTTCCGTTGCCCAGGCTTCTCTGACTTGGCCTCATGTTTTCAACCTGTTACTTTGTTTCCAGCATGGTCTTTAGTTCTCTGGTGATTCCTTTTCTTTTTATTATTTTCAAAGATTTACTGTTTTTAATCATGTGTATGTGTGTAGGGGTGCATGTGAGTGTGGGTGCCCCAGTCCAGAGGTGTTGGACTTCCCCTGGAGCTGGAGTTAAATGTGGGTGCAGGGAACTGAGCTCGATCCTCTGGAAGGGCGGCATGGGATCCTAAGTGCTGGCCAGCTCTCTGGCCCTTTCTTTTTAAATTCAGTTAGACCTGCTGCAGATGCTTCACTGTGACCTGAAGTGAGCGGGCATCCTATGTGGCAGGCAGCTCCCACGTGGACAATGCAGCTTTAGAACAGGATTAGAGGCTTGCTGCTCTACTGATAATGCGCCTCCTTAGTCTTCTCTGTGCCCCTGACCTCCAGGGATCTGAGGACACCTAAGGCTTTGCCATAATTTGGAAGCCCCTGTGACAGCGGAGCATATAACAGGTGACTTTTCACGTGGAAATGACTAAGGAAGCTCTAACTTCGGCTTCGGAGTTTGGGGATTCCCTGGCTCTAATCCCAGCCTAAGATGCCTTCAAATGATGGCACTGTAGGTTTCTCAAAGGGACAGAATGTTCTCATTAGAAAACCCCCCTACACAGCCTATCGATTGGTGGGTGTGTTCTTCAGTCAAATAAACTGGCACGTTAGGGACCTGGCTAGTTGTCTGCTCAATCGGAAACACTGACTAGGTGGGATTTCTGAAAGCTGTGGAGTAGAGGGCTTTGATTCCTGCTCTCTTCCTTGGCACTCACCTGGACTGCTCAGCACCCAGCTGGCCCTCGGCCAACACTGTCCGGAGAGAAACTACTTGCAGCATAAGAGGATCTAAGCTCGAAGCACATCTCTGGAAAGACGAGAGGAGCCAAGTGTGTGAGAACAGCCGTGCGGACTTCTGACAGCTGAACTGACGAGGATCGTCAAGGGACTTGTCGATTTCTGCCATGCTGTCACAGTGCCACCTCTTGGATGGAAACTGAAAAATCTGAGCTTTAAAGTTTCTAATCACATATATTAAAACGATTGAACTTGGGGTCATGGTAAGTTCTAAATACTTATATTCTGCCTTACAGTTAAGGAATTATTTAACCAAATCCTTGAAAACTTGAGATAGAACGCTGTAGTCCACAGCCTAGAAAGCCTTCTAAAATTCCCATCTTTAGCATTTTGGAGCCTTAAACACTGTAAAGGTTCCACTTGGATTTTCTGGTTATCTCTATCCTCTAGCCAAAGGAAGGGTGTGGAGTGACCCCAGAAATCAAACAGTTGTGTGGGAGAGATTGTCTCTTCTGGTGGAAGCGAGGGGTGACAGATGTGGGCGGGGCTGCAGTACAGCATCACCCTGACACTAGTCCTCAGTTATCTCAGACCTCATTTATAGCTGTGGCAAAGCCAGGGTCCCCAGATAGCAGAGGACGAGAAACGCAGTATAACAACAGGTCAGTCTGTAGACTGTCAGTATTTGCTACTCAGACTTAACTGGGGGTGGATCGGGCTAGAATCACAGTACCTGAAAGGGGGGAATAATGTTGGGTTTTGTGTCCTTGTTCTTGGCTCTGCTTCAGTGTTCTTGAGGTGAGATCCAACCCTGGATCCTGCTGAAGAGAGCTGCCTAGTCAGCCTCCTCTGGCAGGCCAAGGTTCCCATCAGTGAGGACGAGAAGCAGTTAGACTGCTGAAGACTACCGTATTTGCAGAGGAAGAAGGGTCTCCGTCTAGAATACAGCCCCTGGACCAGCTCCTTGACGGTGTCGCTATGATGTATCTTTTATTTTGCTTGGTTATTTGGAGGTAGCATCTTGTTTAATTCAGGCCTGACTAGAACTTACTATACAGACCAGGTTGGCCTTGAACTTTCGATTCACCTGCCTCAGCCTCCCTGAAGTGGGATCGTAGGCCTGTGCCACCACACTTGGCTGTGATGCATCTTCCTTGTTGGAAAATATTGTTATGAGTTGGGCGGTGGTGGCACACACCTTTAATCCCAGCACTCGAGAGGCAGAGAAAAGCAGGTCTCTATGAGTTCGAGGCCAGCCTGGTCTACAAAGAGAGTTCCAGGACAGCCAGGACTGTTACGCAGAGAAACCCTGTCTTGAAAACAAACAAAAATGGTATATGTCTTTTAAAATTATTAGGCAAAGGCTCCTTCTTAAAATATGGCCACTTTGCTGGGCAGTGGTAGCACACGCCTTTAATCCCAGCACTCGGGAGGCAGAGCCAGGCGGATCTCTGTGAGTTTGAGGCCAGCCTGGGCTACAGAGCGAGATCCAGGACAGTCACCAAAACTACACAGAGAAACCTTGTCTCAAAAAAACCAAAACCAAAACCAAACAAACAAACAAACAAAAAATATGGCCACTTACAGTGAAACAGAACTAACTGGTAGGTGGCAGACAATTGTATCCTAGCACTCGGGGTTGAGGTAGGTGAACTTGAAGTGGGCAGTTGAGATTAGTCTGGGCAACATAGTTAGGCCTCATGTCAGAAAAAAAAATTATTGTAGTAAAAACTGCTGGCTTTGATTCTGGTATCCATTTCGCTCTACTCGTTTACTCCAGAGTATGCTGACCCTATCTCCAGCTCTGGGATGGGCCTTAATTGGCCTAAAACAATTGGATAAACATCTTCTAACCATTGGTTAGTTACTTACTTATGGGTTGCCATTTCTTGCCAAGAGGGTAGTTTAGACACTCCTGTGATCTGATTTGGTGTGAGGCGGAAACCACCACCAAGCTCTCCTTCGCAGCCTCCTTCGCAGAGGGTCAGCATGCAGATGTGAAACCCCAGGCAGGGCTTTTTGCCTCAGTGAAGGAAGTGGGCCTGAGCATAACACCGACACCATGGTGGAAATGAAATGGGACCTTTGTGACATCAGTGAGGACCTCTGTGACATCGCTGTTCCGTGAAACCCTTAGACACCTCTGGACTTTGTGAGCATGTTAACACATCCCCTCGACATGTGTTTCTGTGCCATGAGAAAGCTTCCTGTAGTGAGCCAGGCATGGCCACAGGTGAAATGCCTGTGGTACCCAGTGGAACTGTGGGAAAGTTCTCCAGCCCAAACCAACACAGACCAGTATTCAGAAGCAGTGTGGTAGAGGGTCTTACAAGACAGGGCAGCTGGTTTAAACCAGTTCTGCCACTAACCAGCACTGGGCTCTGGATAAGCTGCCCAACTGATCTTGTCCTTGGCTCCTGAAAGGAAATTTCTAGTTCTTTTACATCAAGCATTTCTACAATTGCTGTTTCTTGTGGACTTTGGCACACACTACAAATCAGCAATTATGTTATTTACTAAATGACTGTAACTTGGCTGGGCGCACTGTGCATGCCTGTGTATAATCCAGCTCTTGGGAGCGTAGGGCAGTAGGAGCTGCGAGGCGGCACACCAAGCTCTACATTGTGAGACCCTGTCTCAAAGACCAAAATGAAGGATGACAATCTAGAGTACTGTAACATAGGTCAAATATATAAAATGTATTTATATCTTTTCAGCTATATATACAAACACATCGTGTGTTATTGAGAGATATACACGTTATCGATATAGAGTTAGGTACACAGACTGTATCCCAGGCTGACCTGAAACTCTATTATGTAAAGGATCATCTGGAACTTCTCATCCCCCTGCCCTCACCTCCAGAGTGCTGGGATTACAGGTGTGCACCACCATGCCCAGTTTATGCAATGCTGGGGATCGAACCCAAGGCTTCATGCATAGCAGGGCGCACTGCCAACTGAGTATGACCCAGCTCACAGATGTGATTTCTGATGGGCTTTACAATGAAAAGGACTTCCAGGTAATTTTTATCCTCTTTTTTTTTTAAAGGCTTATTTTAAAAAAAATTTTAATTTATATGATTCTGTCTGCCTGTGTGTGTGTGTGTGTGTGTGTGTGTGTGTGTGTGTGTGTGTGTATGTGTGTGCACATATGAGTGTGGGTGCCCTCAGATCAGAGGCACTGGATCCCTTGAAACTGGAGTCACAGGGAGTTGTGAGCATCCCACATTGGGTTGTTAGGAACTGAACTCAAGTCCTCTCCAAGAGCAGTAAGCATTTTTAACTGCTAGCCATTGTTCCAGCCACTTTATTTTAAGATCTTTGGATCTTTCTAAGAACTTCTAGATTTGAACATTTACAAGGTTTTCAAAAATAATTGACATTGCATTCATTACAAGTCTATGATTTCCACAAAATGTTCCATATAATTTTTAAAAGATATAAAAACCATTTTTGCATTTAAATAAACATCTTGAAATAGAAGATGGGACTGTGAGGCAGCATGAGAGGTTTCTCACTTGTAAGCTGAATCAGAAAGCCCCAGAATCCAGAAACCTTGAGCCATGAGCCTAACGGTACCACCGGGAGTAAGGGAGCTGGGTTCTTATGTCACCTTGTACGTTGTGATCCTCAACTGGTCTCCCAGAGTCTGCAGATCAGAGGCACCATCGTGGATAGCAAAGGGTGAGGTCAGCGTCCTGACTGGCTTGTCCAGCTGTTCCGTGGTGATGCCTTGAAATTAGGGTAACATATTTCAGGCTGTTCGCATTCAGGGATTTTAAAGGTTTGTTTATCTATTTAACGTGTATGTGTGTGCCTGGAATATACATACATGAACCACATATCTGCAAGTGCCCTCAGAGGTCAGAGAAGAATGCCAGGACACCCTGGAACTGGCGTTTCAGTGTGAGCCCTCTGATGTGAGTGCTGGGAGCTGAGCCCGGGTCCCCTGGAAGAGCACCAAGTGCTCTTAACGCTGAGCCATCTCTTCAGCTCCCACAGCAAGGAATTTTAAAGCCTATATTAATGTATAGACTTAAATGTTCTACTACCTTTGTTTGTTTGTTTGTTTTTTCTTTTTTTCTTTTTTTTTGGTTTTTTTGAGACAGGGTTTCTCTGTGTAGCTTTGGTGCCTGTCCTGGATCTCACTCTGTAGACCAGGCTGGCCTTGAACTCACAGAGATCCGCCTGGCTCTGCCTCCCAAGTGCTGGGATTATGTTTGTTTTTTCGAGACAGGGTTTCTCTGTGTAGTTTTGGTGCCTGTTTTGGATCTTGCTCTGTAGACCAGGCTGGCCTCGAACTCACAGAGATCCACCTGGCTCTGCCTCCTAAGCGCTGGGATTAAAGGCGTGCGCCACCACCACCCGGCTCTACTATACTATCTTCAATCTCATTTTTTTTTTTTTTTTTTTTTGGTTTTTCGAGACAGGGTTTCTCTGTGTAGCTTTGCGCCTTTCCTGGAACTCACTTGGTAGTCCAGGCTGGCCTCGAACTCACAGAGATCCACCTGCCTCTGCCTCCCGAGTGCTGGGTTTAAAGGCGTGCGCCACCACCGCCCGGCTTCAATCTCATTTTTATATATATATTTCATTCCCTAAGTGTGGATACATATATATTTTCCTACTTAGCCACCTCTGTGTTGCTATTGAAACTCCTCCAGGACGTACTTATCATTTCCTGCCTTTATTTTTTTTCAGCTTCCTTCTTCAGTTTCTCCAAGACCTCTTCTGGAGTCGTCGAGGCCAAGAGCTTCACCACCTTTTCCCGAGATTTACCACCCTGAACCAGAAAGAAAAAGACACACTCAGCATCCCAGTACGGGCAGGAGCACAGACCTCTGTCCCCACTGCAGCACGTCCTCACAGGGTGTCATGGATGGCCTCTCCCAAGAGCCTAGTGTGGGTGGTTTAAAGAAAACGGCCCCCAAAGGGAGTGGCACTATTAGGAGGTACGGCCTTGTTGGAGGATGTCTGTCACTGCGGGGAAAGGGCTTTGAGGTCTCTTTTGCTCAAGTTTCACTCAGAGTGACACTCAGTCCACTTCCTGCTGCCTGCGGATCAAGATGTAGCCAGCACCATGTCTCCCTGGATGCGGCCATGCTCCTCACCATGATGATAATGAATTAAACCTCTGAAACTATAAGTCGCTGCCTCAATTAAATGTTTTCTTTTATAAGCATTGCCGTGGTCATGGTGTCTCTTCACAGCAAATGAAACTCTAAGACATCTAGGCACTCTCTCCCCTGGACACGTCTATTTACAACAAATTTGTAGGACTCTCCTGAGTTTTTGCCTTTTATTTCAACTTTTATAATAAAAGTTTAGCATTAAAATTTCAAGATGAATGTTTATGATACTCTGTTTTCTTTTCTTTAAGATAGGGTCTCATGTAACCAAGATTAGCTCAAACTCAATATATAGCCAAGGATGAACTTGAACCCTTGATCCTTTCTGTCTCTCTCAAGTGCTGGGATTACAGGTACTTCCCACTATGCCTGGCCAATATTCTAATTTCAAGTAATTTGCTTAAATTACAAAGGAAAATAATTTTAAAATATTAAATATGAAAATTTAGTATAAACTTTTTATAACACCTAAATATAAACAAATTGCTTTTTTAAATTGTTATATATTTCTGAAAGTTTCAAACAAAAAGGAACCACACATCTAAGTACTATGATTTCACAATCATCTAAAACAACCCTTAAAAAGATTGATTTGAAATATACCTTTTATAAATCACAGAATTGAGCAGGGATTTATCTAGTTGGGCTGTGTGTGTACACAGAAGAGCGGAGCATGCTGCTGGGCTCACGTCAGACCAGGCACTGCCAAGGTCAGACACGATCTGCCACAAGTTGGGGAGGTAAAGGAAGGAAGTGGCCTGATCAAATGGATTCTTAGGTGAAGATTATTAATAGATCATTAATCAAGTCATTGATTAGTCAATGACTTTAAATGGAACAGATGTGAACTGCACGGTACATACAGCACTAGAACACAGGCAGAGCTTTAAAAACATGAACGTGGCCTGCTTCCTTGCATACGGATTCTAGTTCAGTACGTCTACAGAAATGCCAGGAGCCTCTTTTTAAAAATCATCCTCTGGTGCTTCTGAAGTAGAACCAAGGTATTAACTTCATATGAACTTGTCTTCACAGTAGGTCTCCCCTCGAGAGCAGAACCAACGTGGGGCCAGAAATACTTGGTGAGCTTCTCGATGGAGATGACACATAGGGACCATTTTACACTATTTCAGCATGGTGGTGTCTTGAAGGAAGGGAGCAAGATTAATCTGACAGTAGGTACAGGTAGGAATTTAGAAAGGAGAAAAATGCTGTAAATGATCAAAACGAAGGACTGTAAGGAGTGGCCAGTCTCAATACGACAGAGGCAGTGTAGATGAAAGACACCATGCAGTCTTTGTGTTTAAATGAATAAAGGTTTTTAAAACCGGCTTTATAAGACTGGAAAGATAGCTCAGTGGTTAAGAGCACTGGCTGCTCTTCCAGAGGACCCAGGTTTGATTCCCAACACCCACATGGTGGCTCACAACCATCTGTAACTCCAGTCCTAGGGATATGACATGCTCTTCTGGGCTCTGAGGGCACCAGGTATGCACATGGTGCACGGACATACATGTAGGCAGAACAGCCACACACACGAAACTGTTCTTAAAATTGGCTTTACAAAAATTATAGAAAATATGAACTATGACCAGTATATAATGATTTAAAGGGGAGAGACCCACCTTGTCCAGAACCACATCACTCTTCCTGAGCTCCAAGACCTTGGAGAGATACCGACAGAGCTCCGCATTTGCTTCTCCCTCTGATGGCGGTGCCGCGATTGCCACACCGACGGCCTCGGTGGTCAGATCTGGAATGAAACGACATGAACTTCGTCATTAAGGGGCTCTTTCCCTCCACAGAGCGAGGGACTGTCAAACAGTTTGCATTTACCTGGGACAGGCTTTCGGTTACTAACTGCTGAACTAGGTACCAGGACTGAATGAATGTTAAACTAATACCTCAGGGAACACAGATAAATCGGTCTCTACAGTCGTAGAACACACACCCACAAAAGGGAAAACCCTACTAACTGGACAGGTCTAGAGTCCTAGAGAGCATCTTGGACGTAGGTGACTAGAAATTGCCTTTGACTGGGAAGAGCTCCAGAAGGGCGTCGGGAGCTGGGCTTCGGCTCCACCTATGCACTCAGGAAGTGCAGAGATGAAGCTGCACCCCAGATCACACAGGGTGCAGGCTCTCACACCAGGAAAAGCCAAGCCCTAGGCTAGGTTCCTCTCTTCTGTGATATGTATCTTCAATGCCTCCAATATTCAATGCACTTCACATTTATCTAACAATCACACTGCTTTTACGAGCATATAAGCTTTCCCAAAGGGCTTCAGCATAGTGCCATTATTAGCCCCATTTTACAGGTGAGGCAACTGAAGTCAAGTAATGTGCCCTGTAGTACTTCACAGTTATTAGGAGAACAAGGCATTTACTCAGAGCAGTTTGCAAATGAGCTGGAGCTGGCCCTGCATCTGGGGCCACTCAGCCACAGCCGGCCATATACTTGTACCCTGTGTAACAGCTCATCTGTGTACTCCACAAGTACGAGACAGTGAAGTGGCTCTTCCGTTGCCTCTCAAGTGCACAGTTTTTCATTTTAGTATCTTCGAAATCACACCATGTCTTATAATGGATAGAAGAGTTTAGTTGATCTGATTTTTAAAAAATAATGTACATAAATACTCGTGTACCTTATAGTTGATTCCATCTTAGATTTGGCTTAGGAAATACCTGGCCAAAAGTTTGGGCTTGGAGCATAAGCCTATAATCCTAGCACTCAGAGACTGAGGCAGAAGGTAAGTTTGAGCCCAGCATAGGCTACATAAGCAATTCTTATCTTAAGAAAGGAAGGAAGAAAAGCAGAAAAGCTGGCCAAAGTATGGACAACAGATACAAGATAACCAAGCCATTAGCACAAACCAGGCCTATCTAGCACTTCGGTTTGGGTGTAGTATTTTCAAAATATAAAAATAATTTGGGCCGGGCTGTGGTGGCACACGCCTTTAATCCCAGCACTTGGGAGGCAGAGGCAGGTGGATCTCTGTGAGTTCGAGGCCAGCCTGGTCTACAAAGTGAGTTCCAGGACAGGTGCAAAGCTACACAGAAAAACCCTGCCTCGAAAAACAAAAACAAACAAACAAACAAAAATAATAATTTGGTATATAAAGTTTTACCTTGAAGATAAATATTTTTCAAGATAATTCAGTTCAAACTTTAACTTTGCCTAGGAATTAGTCAGGGGTCTCAGCTCAGGTTTTCTCCCATTTTCAGGTTAATGATCGTTACACCACACCAAGTATCTCTCCTCTCTGTCGCTGTCTCTAATTTTTAGAACAGGAAAAATTAAGGCTAGTCTAGGCTACACATATGTTCCCTTATGTGTGCTTCCCAAATGTTTTGTTGTTTAGAGACGGGGTCTTGTTTGTATTCCAGACTGACCTCAAACTCAAGATCCCCCTGCCTCAGTTCCTAAGTACTCGTGAATTACTGGTACACGAGACCGGGCTATCTCCAAACAAGGCAGAGAGAAGGTAGAGAGAGAGCGTGATCCACACAAGAATCCCATCAGTGCTCACATGTACCTGTCACAGCATTTTGTTTGGAGCCGGGTTTGGCATGGATAGCGATGGTGATACAACCTTTAGGATCAGTGGCAACAGGCCCTGCAGGAGAAAGTGGTGTCTCTGGTTCCTTGGTTTGGTTTTTACCCTAAAATGACATACACAATGTTACAGGTTACGGAATATTTCATCACACTTTTATTTTGACCCATTACTACCCCTCGCCCTGACAAAACTGGGCCTCCCATCCAGCAACCGGCCACGAAGGTGCTTCCCCACATCCCTCAGGGACCAGTCAGCCTCCCATCAACCCACAGCGTTTGTACTGCCTTAGAAGGCCTGACTCTGGCCTTCACACCTTTATGCTGCTTTCTCTTGTTAGCTTTATAATTCACTTTCTCTACAAATAGAGGTTATTTATTACTATTTATTATTTATCATTTATTTGGTGTAGGTCAAAGCTGGGAGAGAGAGTGAGAGAGAGATAGAGAGAGAGAGAGAGAGAGAGAGAGAGAGAGAGAGAATGAGAATGAGTTTGGATCTCATTCTGGCTACCTAGAACTTGTCCCTATAGCCTGCTTTATAGTTACCATTCCTCGAGAGTAGAGCCACTTATTAGTCATCTTTATATCCAATGCACACTAAAACTCCGAGTGGGTGAGAGGGTGAGGGGTGGGCTGCAGAAAGAGCAATAATGACTGGCACTTAAACGCCATGCTAAGAACTTTTTATTCATCCATTCCAGGGCAGTCTGCAGGCAGTGGGTATGAAGAGATACTCCCTGACCTCGAGGAGCTGGGATCACAGCGCGAGAGAACCATAATGAAGCCCATAATTGTGCTAAGTGCACCATACACAGTACATTACTGCATGGAGAAAGGCAGTCAGGGCTGGGGAGCTGGGGAAGGTGCCTGCAGGTGGCAGTCAGTGCCTGAGCTGGGTCACAGAAAGGAGTTGGAGTTTGTCAGGGGAGGGAGTGCTGTCTTCCTCGACCACAGGGAGGCAGAATGCACAGCCTGCCGGGAAGTGCAGCCCTGGAAAGTGGGGAGCGAGGCGGAGGTCGGCAGGTGCTCAGTGGAGCCTAGATCTGGTGGTCCTCAGGCGGGCTAACGTGCGGCCCAGGAAGGCTCAGACAGGAATGAGTGACCCGCTGTCGGGGAGGTCTTCGACCCGCCAGGCGCTGCTCTGTTCCCTGCTGTGTAGTCCGGTGGCCCACCCTCTCCACGCCACGGGACTTGCCACTGGCCTTGCTCGTCGCACCGGCTTTCTTAGGCATTGTGGAAGCAGACAAGAGTCTAGCAGGGGCCGAAACGCCGCGACCCACCGCAAGCGGCAGCATCCCAAGCCCGCAGGCACCGCGGAGGGCCACGGCGCGGCGGAAGAGTCCTGTGCGCCTGCGCACGTCGCGGGCGGAAGCGGCATGCGCGTCTGCCCTCCTCTGAGAGCGCCACCTTGCGCCTGGATGGCGCGGGCTTCCTTCTTTTGGAACCTGCCCGCCGGGGGTGTGATCACGTGGTGAGTCATCTTTGTCAACGGAGGCAAAGGTGTCACCCTTCCTTAGGAGTAAGTGACAAGTCTCAGCGCTCGCCTGCTCCACGCGGCATCGTGGCAATTCGCACACTGCCGTGCGAAAGGAGAGGAGATACGCTGTGAAACGGAATACGACTGGAGCAGAGGCAAGTCAGTACAAGTGCTGAAGTTAGGGACTGGCCTTGTCCAGTTAGGTTAGAATGTGTGGACAATATACGCCTAGAGGCGGGAAGATATCTGCCACCTCAATGGGAGATGGCTCTTAACCGTTTGAGGGTCTTTGGGTCTTGAATGGTCAGAGATGGAGGAAAGATCACATGGTGCAACTAAGACTGAAGATGCCCAAGTCTGGGGCTGGTGAGCAGCCTTGGTGGTTTGAGGTGAGTTTTTAGGGTACAGTAAGTTTGAAATGATTGGAGAGATCAAAGTGGAATAGTTACAGTTATCTGAATACCTAACTGAAGCATCAGAGACCTGTGCGGGTGATGGAGAACAGATGGTAACAAAAGGAAATGGACCGTCATAAACATCCCCAATGCGCAGAGCTGACATGCAGGTCCAGCACAGAGCAAGAAGGGTCAGGGAGACAAGCCACAACTAAACACTAGCCAGAGGTAGTACAGTGCAAGGGCAGCTAAGGGAGATGGCTTCAAAGCAGTCAGCTGATACTGATTTTTTTATCTTTATTTTTTTAATATTTTATGTCTTGAGTGCTCTATGTGTATACTTGCACGCCAGAAAGTCATCAGATCCTGTTAGAGATAGTTGTGAGCCACCATGTGGGTGCTGGGAATCAAACTCAGGACTTCTGGAAGAGCAGACAATATTCTTAACCACCAAGCCATCTCTCCAGCTGTGGTCAGCTGATAATTGTCACAAAAGAAGTGAATTGACCCGGTATTCACAGGTCTAGAAAATTGAGTATTGGTGACCCAGATAGGGGCAGTTTTAGTGGATAAATAGAAATGTGTAGATAATATTTCACACTTTGCAGTGAAGTAACAGGAATCTGGAGGGGCTTGAGACTCGGGGACTTTAGTTTTTGAACCAGATAACTGCATTTGAAAGCATAGTAATGAGCTAGAAGAGAGTTCAGAAGCAGGAACTGGAGTTTCACTAGTGGGGAGGTGCTGAAGGTAAGAACTAGGAATAGTTATATAGTGTTTGGAAAATGGCAGAACCGTCTATGGAAACTCACCCAGTGGCACTGACAATCTGATTCAGGTTGGAGCCAGAGGAAGTCAATATCCCAATCTCCACTTACGTAATTTTTTTTTTTTTTTTTTATGCTGAATACATGTTCCACCACTGAGCTACACCCCAAGTTACAGGACTTTGAATGCCTGGCCTCAGCAGCTAGGGAGCCAATCACAATGATCTGGGTGTACACAAGAGGACTGAGGGGTCACTGAAATGGTTAAAGACCAAATGTCCAACTGAACAGGAAGGGGAGTCAAGAGGTTGACAAGGCAGATGTCCAAGGGCTGCAGTGTTCGGATTCAGTAACAGGTGGGATTGGAACGTGACTGCTGAAAACAGCCATTAAAGGTTGTGATCAGAACGGGGCATCTCAGTTTACTCTCCAAAGACACATTCCACATGACAAGGTTATGAGATGTGGTCATGAGAAGGAAACGCCTGAAAAACTAGACACTGAGGCCAGCCTTACTGCTCAGGCACGGATCCACGTGTTAAACCACACCACACCTATTTCTTTTAAAATAAGCTACAATTGAGGCACAAAGTAGAACCAAAATTATACTATGGTAACTTGGTGGCTTTTTAGGTGAACTCATGGAACCCTCTAGAGACTGGACAATCGGGTTTTTTAAGAAGGGAGGGGGGACATGTTGGTGAATTACCTATGGTGCCTGGCAGGTGTCTAGAGGGGTGGAAGGAGAGGGAAGAGGTGCCCTGTAAGGAAGCACAGGTACCTCCAGAGTATAAGGACTCCTTCACACCAGCCAGAAAGAACAAGAGCCCTCGGCTCAATCTGCCACACACCCAAGAACCTGCCCCTGCAGAAAGGACAGGGACTGTGACCCAGATGGTAAAACCCACTGCAAATGTCAGATTCCATTTTAAGTTTGGTTTTAAAAATCTTACTCCAGCTTCAGAGTTACTTTAGCTTTGCCAGTGGAGTTAAAGACTTAAGCACGCACCAAGAGTAAAGCTCTTGGTCACTCTGGGGCTGCTGTGGTTCCCTCTTGTTAAACAGTCGTTTTGTTCAATTTGGCCACAGTTCACGTTTTCAATGTGGGGACAAGAACAGAGACAGAAGGCCGAGGAAGGCACTAACTAGTAAGGGAAGAAGGGCAGTGAGAGTTGAACAGTTTGCATTTCATGTGCCATATTTGATGGCCTTACTCTCTTTTGTCCTATAAGCATTTTTATTCCTTTTTTGTTTGTTTGTTTGTTTGAAAGTATGTCTACCTAAAACTTTATGTGGACCTAAAACACAATGTTCGAAAGTAGAAATATTGCATCTTAATTTGTTGGGCAGATATAATAGCAACACTATTGTAGGAATACTTTTAAGGATATTGATATTCTACAGTAGAGGTACAAGTTAGTCAAATTATTTTTATTATTTGGGGGAGGGGTTGTTGTTTGGAGACAGGGTCTGTGTAGTCCTTGCTGTCCTGGAACTCACTCTGTAGACCAGGATGACTTCAAATTCAGAGATTCACCTGTCTCTGGCCCCCAAGTATTGGGATTAAAGGTGCGCACCACAACCACCAGCTCTTTGGATGTTCTATTTACCAACAAGTCAGAGAAACTGAGAAGCCACCAGCTGACCTTGCCTTGCCTTTTTTTTTTTTTAAAAAAAAACCAGAGACCAAGCAAGAGATGTTCCTCTTCACTTGTCCCAGAACCAAAAAGCCTGAACCAGACTCTAGTCCTGCCCTTACCTTCCTTTTTGTCTTCTGTCCAAATTCCTGCTTCTCTATGGCTAATTCTGCTCATTCACTGGCTCCACCCCATTCAAGGTTAACTTTATTAACAGTCTCGGAGTGTCACATTGTGAATATCCCACAACAATGTGCCCGTGTTGGAGGAAGTGTGTCACTGGGGGTGGGCTTTGAGGTTTCAGATGCTCAAGACAGGCCCAGTGTGGGTCTCTCTTCCTGCTGCCTGCTGATCCAGATGTAGAACTCTCAGCTACCTCTTCAGCACCATATTTGTCTGTGTCCCATCACACTTCCTGCCATGACAATAATGGATTAAACTTCTGAACTACAAACCAGCCCCAATGAAATGTTTTCTTTTATATGAGTTCCCATGGTCATGGTGTCTTTTTACAGGAACAGAACATTTGAGTAAGGCACCTAGCTTGAATTCCATCCATAGTGCCAAAATGTCAGTCACTGCAGCCTGATGATTACTGTGTACTGGCCTTTGCACTAAGTGCTTTGCATACATTCTTGCTTGTCTGCATCAATATGTGTCGGTATTACAGTGTCCAAATAAAGAAGTTACTATTTAGAACGTTTACTAAACGGTGCTGGGTACAATTTGAAGTCTTTATGGCCCAAGCTATTAAGCAGAGAAAATACTTTGTTGATAGACTTAGTTTAAACCTACATATTGGGGCCATGGCAGAGCCCTGGCCACAGGACTGGAAGGCCCTCCAGGCATGGCCAGATTGGCTGGAGGGGCATTGACTGCGGGGCTGTGGGGCCACAGACAATAATTAAAATGTCAGTAGATTCATGTGCAGCAGCTAAGCTTACAGAAAAACATCACCATACCTTCTATAGTGCTACTCTCTATGAGCCCATGGGGGCCATTTTCATTCAAACCACATTAGGCAACTGTCCCTCACCCCCCTCTGTAGTACTGACTAAAACTACAAATGCACAAGAGCTAAACTTTAATTAATTATAACCTTTGTTCCAAAGTACTGTCTCACATTCAACTTTTACAGAAAGAGACAAATGACAAAAAACAGATAAACAAAAAGGATCAATTTATTCTAAAAATTCCAGGTGATGTCCCATGTCAGTGAGTGGTTCCGTTTCTTGTACCTTCCATTGACTACATTCCATTACAGTTGTTCAGTAAAAAACAAGGCATGGGAATGCCCCAACGTCAAAAGCACTAACTTACCTCTGGCATGCAATACGTGTTAAGGAAGAAATACCTCCCCAAATGGTTACTACAGTCTTTGCTAAACTTCAGTTATGCAGAATCACACATTCCACAGGTATTCCAGCTAACGGAGGCTGGCAACACAAGATCATGGTACCAGAGCAAACAGAAAACAGTTTCCTCTCTTCAGCAACTTCAGGAGACCCTGGCCACCAGCACATCACCTCCCTGACCTCGTGAAAATACAAAATATTACTTTTGATGAAATCCTTTATATCCTATTTAGAAAAAATTCTTAAGTTGATACTTAGAAGAATTTTTATTTTTAATAACTTTCCACAACTATCTGAGACTGATACACTTTCGGCTTAATTTATACAAGGTTTATTTTTTTGTAAGATAATCATTTTCAAGAGGAAAATGTTATCTCACTTGTACTTTAAAAATCTGCTTTATATAAAAACGTAGAAACGTCACACTGTCAGATATCCTCCTGCCCCACTCTTACCATAGGTGTACCAGTCCATTAACAAGGTTACAGATAAAATCAAGCATTTTCTCTGCAGGTGACGAAAAGCCTCCTTCCTTTTCGGGAGGAGTATTGGTTGGACAGCTTTGATTTCAGAGCAGCTGTTAGGAACTTAGTATTCTGTCCTCTCTTGCTGTGTCCGGTCACTGCAGCACTATAGTGGTGTCTGTCTCCACCTCCATCGTATCTCAGCCATCTAGCAATTACTGGCAGCACCCACGACAGGCACAGTGGGATAGGAGTGATAAAGAATCCATCTTAGCCTGTCCCTGTAGATCTGTTTATTTCAGTTATTGTGAATTTGTACAAACTCCACTTACAGCTTTGAAACAGTACTATGCAATACACTACTACACTATTACAAAACACCCTTTCTGCAAATGTACTGGAATTTCTCTTGGGTGTTTTTTAGGCTTACTTTTAGCACTATTCCAAATGTTAACAACCAGATATTTCAAAACCCCAAATATAAAGTCAATTTTCTTAATTTTCCGAAATTAGTTATTTGAGTTAAAAAGAATTCTGTAGGAATACTGACCCATTTCACCTAACTTTCAAAATAGTAAAAACAAGTTTAAAAAAAAAAGTGAAAACATCCACATCTGCTATATATGACAAAAATCTTTCAATTCCCAAATTACTGAAAGATCACGAGTCAGTGGACCTATGAAATCACACAAGACAAGCAGGAAGACTGCGGTTTTCACAAACTCAGTTCTCTTTGCTCTGAGGGTTACAAGAAAATGGAAAATCTGCCTTTGAATCATGCAGAGATTTAAATAAACTTTACTTCCTCTAAGAAACTAAAATGTTTCTTATTCTGTAATTATAAATACTCAAGACACTCAAACTATTTGTGGCCAGTTGTTTATGCTTTTGAGATTAGACTGAATGGTCGGTAACACTAGGTTATGTATAAAATATTATTTCTGGTATTTGTCCATCTTCTATTGAAGTGCCATTGTTATTGCCAGGGGAGCTGAAAAATAGAAAGACAGTCTTGCTTGCAGCAGGGGTCTCATGGACGACTTTCTTCAGTCCTTTTGTGCCGTAGTGAGAATCTGGCCCCTACAGGAGAATAATGGTTGGTTAGTGGCTGTCATCCAGAGGCCCTCAGTGTGTTCTGCTCTGACTGCTGGTCTACCCTCGTCACTACAGATCCAGTGTAAAATTTCAGTCAGTCATTTAATGAAATATGAAGTTTTTACTTAAAAACAATTTAAAAACATCAATATAGAATTAGGCCATTAACAACTGTGGAAAGGTTTTAAGGACACAATTCTTTTATCTTCCGTGGAAAGTTCAATTCCTTTAAACAATGGAGCAGTTCTTAGGAAGCACTCACTTTCTCTCAGAACAGCAGTGTTGGGCAGCACTTAAAGCAGCGGAGTATCTTAGCTCCGCTTCCTCTCCCCTTTCTAAGATACTCCCCAGCATACCAGCGACTCTGTAAACACGGAAGCCAGGAGCCAGGAGCCCATGCAGGGCGGCTGCGCCTGTGCCGCTGAGTGCCTCTTACCTTGAGCGTTGCGCATGCTGTGTAACAGACATTGGGCAGGATCTCTATAGGTTCTTTGAACATGACCCTGAATGTGTTAGCAGTCCCGTCACAACTAAATCCAGTATCATTTTGTCCCAAGGTTTGTTTTTTCTCATATTCAATGATCTGTGAGTTTTAAGAGAAGTAACATTTAAGTTAAATTGTAACAGTCTTAAAGAAAATATGAAGCCTCTAGAAGTTGCGACAATAGACTGTAAACTTCCCATGTTCTAATTTTTCTCTGCTTATCTCTAGTTATCAAAGATGCCTTTTAAAGCATTTGATGATCAGAAAATAGCTCTTTAACTCATGCGTCACAGTTAAGAACGGGGAAGGCATCAAGCGTTGGGCGGGGGCTTGGCTGCACAAGAAGGCTTCCCTACAAAGTGCAGGTTCGTGTGTGAACTCGAATGCAGACTCGAGCCGGCATGGCAGTGCACGCCTTTCATCCCAGCACTCGGGAGACAGAAACAGGCTCTCTGTGAGTTTGAGGCCAGCCTGGTCTACAAAGTGAGTTCCAGGGCAGCCAAGGCTATACAGAGAAACCCTGTCTGCAGTGGGGTGGGGATGCAGACTTGGGATATCGGAGGGAAAAGAATCTTTCCTCCTTGTTTAGCCCATGTCTTATTAATAGGATAATCCTCTCAACATTTTCAGTTTCAGTATTTACTGGAATTAAAATATCCTTAAATTAAAATATCCATGTCTGTGAATAATTACAATTAGTTAGTTCTATCTTACTGGTTCTCGGTGATCTTTGGGGATAGTAAGGCACCCTCCAGGAGAGTCAAGCCACTAGAGGAAATATGCAGGCAGTCCAGTTTAGATGATAAAGAAGCTGGACAGGGAGGAAACTGCTTCTGTTTAAAGAGGGGTGACACTTCCTGGAGGACGGCTTGAAAAGCTGAAGTCAGAGCTTACCAAGTTACCAGGAGGGCTTCCAGACAGGGGACAGCGCCCTCACAACCTGCATTTTTGCAAACAGTCTAGGAAACAGTACTGAAATAGTTACCAGGAGGGCTTCCAGACATGGGACAGCGCCCTCACAACCTGCATTTTTGCAAACAGTCTAGGAAACAGTACTGAGATAGTTACCAGGAGGGCTTCCAGACATGGGACAGCGCCCTCACAACCTGCATTTTTGCAACAGTCTAGGAAACAGTACTGAAATAGTTACCAGGAGGGCTTCCAGACATGGGACAGCGCCCTCACAACCTGCATTTTTGCAAACAGTCTAGGAAACAGTACTGAAATAGTTACCAGGAGGGCTTCCAGACATGGGACAGCGCCCTCACAACCTGCATTTTTGCAAACAGTCTAGGAAACAGTACTGAAATAGTTACCAGGAGGGCTTCCAGACATGGGGACAGTGCCCTCACAACCTGCATTTTTGCAAACAGTCTAGGAAACAGTACTGAAATAGTTACCAGGAGGGCTTCCAGACATGGGGACAGTGCCCTCACAACCTGCATTTTTGCAAACAGTCTAGGAAACAGTAATGAAATAGGCTAAGGCTGGAACAGCGGTTTCTCTGTAGGGAGGGAGGGCGGGCGGGAGGATCATGAAGAGTTCCTGGTGTGGTCTTGTCCTGTCCCTTGACTAGGCACTAGTTACACAGGTGTGTACAGTCTGTGAAAACTGAGCCATACATGCCATTTACTAATATAACCTACCCTACCTCCCTTTTAAGACAAGGTCTAACTATGTAGGCCTAGCTGGCCTGGAACACTCAAGGGCTGGGATTAAAGGTATGCACCACCATGCTCAGTGAATATACCTTTCAAGTATCTACTACCTGTTTAATAAAAAGGAGGCTGTACCCATAAAATTAAAATCTCTAGAAAATACCATTACACTAAAACAAGATGCCATTCTTAGCATATAGATCTATTTTCAACACCTTCCTGTATCGATTGCCATCAATTTATATACTTGCTGCTTCAATACTGCTGTCCCATTGGATTTGGGAGAACTGAGATTGAAGGGGGTGGGGGAGGTGTTTGAGTGATGTAACTGCTACAGTCCCAAGAGTCTATCTTTCTTTAATGGTAGTCCTTGTAGCTGGTGGCAGTGGAGATATGGATCAACTTTCAGAAATGTTCCAAGTTATCATGTCCTCCTTCTATCACACAAGTCTCTGGTACTTTCATCTGTTAATATAGCTGAGCCAGCCAAAGTCGAGTCTTAAGATGTGCATGGCTCTTATTTTAGGTGAAAGGTAAAGTGGATCTCAAAACAAAACAAAACAAACAACAACAACAAAATACAAAACCAGGCACATAAAGATGAACTTTCACATAAAAACATGCCATCTCTTTCCTTCCTATGTCATGTGACTTCCTTTCTATGTCACAAGTCTCTGGGATGAGGGCCCAGCTCAGGTACTAAGAAGAGCTCTCAAGACTGGAGAGCTGATTCAGCAGTTAAGAAAACTTAGTGCTCCTGCAGAGGATGGGGTTCAGCTCACAAGTGTCTCTAGCTTCAGTTTCCAGGAGATCCAATGCCTTCTCTGATCTCTTTAGGTTCTTGCATGCACACGGTGCACATACATACCCTCAGGTATATAAACATACACACAAAATAAATACTTACAAAACAAGCAAAAGCCCTCTAGATGGTTCTACTGAAACGGAAAGGTCCTAGGGAAATGGCTTGCTGGGGAACGTATCTGCTCTCAAGCATGAAGTGCTGAGTGAAGATCCCGCTGAGCAGCTACATAAAAGCCAGGTGCAATAGCATGTGTCTGCAACCCCAGAGACGGAGAGGTGAGGTGGGGACAAAGACAGGGGATCCCTGGAGCTCACTGAACAGTCTGCTTAGTTAAACTGGAGAGCTCTAGGTGAAGTGAGAGACTGTCTCAAACAAGAAGATGGAGAGTGCTGGGCAATGGTAGTACATGCTTTTAATCCCAGCATCCAGGAAGCACAAACAGGTGGATCTCTGTGAGTTCAAGGCCAGCCTAGTCTACAGAGCTAGTTCCAGGACAGCCAGGGCTACTCAAAGAAACTCTGTCTGGAAACAACCCAGAAGATGGAAAGTGATCCTGGAATTATTTTCAACTTCAACTTCTGGCCTTAATCTGCACTCATACCCACCTGCACAGACCAACACACACATGTACATCCCACTACCCCCACCCCACCCACACACACCAACTTCAAGGAAACATTAATTTAGAGGATTTGGCATTATAGTATGTTAGGAACCATACCTCAGCTGGTAGACACATGGTATTAGGAGAAGTTGCCCAGAAAAATGAGGCTTTTCAACAAGGGTTAAACTGGCTCTTCTAACTCGGTAACATAACTGGCTAGGTGAACTAACTTCAGTCTGTGCTTTATTTAGATGGACTTCATGGAGTGTATCTAAACAGTTTTAAATATTGGTCAACACTCAGATGAAACATCAAGAAATTCCATGTGAAAATCCACCAGTTTCTGTCTCCTTGCTATCTTCAGACCCTTGTGTCCAGATGGGAACTATTTATTGGCAGGGGCTAAGTAGTGGCTGCCTTTTCAAACAGACAAAAAAGCCACAAGTAAGGAGAGGAACTGAGATCTTTTATACTCTTCAAAGATCTGCTGTTTTTCTGAAGAATCATGGAGGTCTCAGTATCCAGAGCCCAGTTAGTAAAGTGCCAAAAAAGCCAGGCGATGGTGGCACACTCCTTTAGTCACAGCACTCAGGAGGCAGAGGCAGGCAGATCTCTGAGTTTGAGGACAGCCTGGTCTATACAACAAGTTCCAGGACAGCCAGGGCCACACAGAGAAACCCTGTCTCCAAACACTGCCCCTACAAAAATAAGCTGGGCGTGGTGGTGCAAACCTTTAATCTCAGCACTGGCAGGCAGATGTCTGAGTTCAAGGCCAGCTTGGTTTACAAAGTAAGTTCCAAGAGAATGAGAGACTGTCTCCAAATAAAGGTGGATAACACCCGAGGAATGATACCGAAGGTTGTCTTATGGCTTCCACACTCATGCATGTACATAAACACGTGCCTTTGCATATGTGAACAACATAACCCGACACACAAAAACTGCATGAAAATAACTTTCTCCTCTATTCCTGGCTGTTACATAACCAGATCTTTGAATTGCTGTAGTCACAAAGAATACAAAGTAGCAACATTTTAAAAAGCATGCATTTGACTACAAGGTTCAAAGTTTTTACTATTAAAGAGAATATAGTGGTAACATTTATACGGCATGTTTTTTGCTTTATTGATAAAAGTCTGAAACATGTTTTACTTCCTTTTCTCATATTTTTTTTACTTTATGTATAAAATATAGGCACAGTATTGTATAGTTCATAAATAAAAATATAACACTGATATGTTTTCAAAAATAATTTTACTTTACAGGGTATGCAATCCAATGGGGAACAGCAGTTCATTAGGAAGGATGGAACAGAAGGTGTTTAACATCTGTGTCCTATCTACAAGAACTGAGGTGGAGCAGAGAAGGTGTTTAACATCTGTGCCCTATCTACAAGAACTGAGGTGGAGCAGAGAGGGTATTTAACATCTGTGCCCTATCTACAAGAACTGAGGTGGAGCAGAGAGGGTGTTTAACATCTGTGCCCTATCTACAAGAACTGAGGTGGAGCAGCCCTCAAGATGCAGCAGAGCAGCATGCTGGCACACACCTGTCATCTCAGCACTAGAAAGACAGACACAAGGAGGAGGATGGCAAGTTGAGACCATCCTCAGATGCAAGACCCTGTCAAAATACAACAAACACAAAAACAAAACAAAACAAGAATGTAGCAGTATTTACTCAGACACTCCTAAATCAAGAGAGTGTTTGAGGCAGTGTGAAGTAATGAGATGCGTTCAAAGCACTCAAGTTCAAGTAACATGAAAGGGAAGAAGGGTATTTAAATCAGTAAGATAGAATTACTGTAAGGGTTTCCTGGACAAAAGTTAGCTCTGGATATGCTAATACTTTTGCAAAGGACCCCAATTTCCTGAAACCACAATTATTACAACAACCACAAAACAGAAATGGTTTAAAATACTACTGATGATTCCTGATTCCTTTGACAATGACAATGAAATCTGGGTTTTTGTCAAGACAGTATTTATTGCAAAGTAGCTGCTATATCTCAGGATGATAACAGGGATGGAGAGTACCTGTATATTCACTTGATAATCCGTGGGCCCATGAATAGATCCATACAAACCAAATCCAACTACAGAGATTCTTCTGTTAACTGTGAACCTGTGAGAAAGGATCCCATTACAAAATAACAGAAACAATTCTCTAAGTGTTCATATTTTGAAGTCTATAGCTCTTTAAAAGTGTTACCTGGATTTTACTTACAAATAGAAATGATCATAAAAGATACTTCTGAAAATGTCACCTTCATTGCCCACAAATCCTAGTGTGAACTGAAGAGGAACTCAAGGAGGATTTATTCTGTATATAGTCAAAGGATTGTGACCTAAATCCCTGCTTTTATTGTAACGGTTGGTTCTATGCTGCACCCATCCAATCTCCCTCACGAACATTCTGGTCATTAAGATCAAAGTCCCAAACTTGGACATTCTATCAGTTCAGTAAATACTTACCGAGGGCCTATCACACTGTCACTGTGAGTGGCCAGTCAGGAAACAATGGTGAACAAGGCACAGGTTCTACCTTTGCCACTTGGGAGAGAATGATAAACAAGCAAAGGGATAGATAGTAATTATAAACTCTGGTAAGAGTTGTAAATGCACTAAACCAACAACTGAAAGTAGATGAGTGGAGACAGGCACCATGAATAAAGGTTCCATAAAATAATTAGCAAGTCTAGTTTGGCACAATAGTCAAGAAATACTGATCTATCTTACTTCATTTACTGTATGTGTAAGAAAAATGACATTAACTACAAAGGCAACTGAAAAGACTGTATTAAACACAGTAATTACAGATAATCTGTAATTCTCAGCATTTTCAGCTAAAGTTTTGATTCGATCACTATTAGTACTACTGGCACACCACTAGAGTTTTGTAGGTAGTTCCTATGTGCTGAGCCGTAAGCTCCATTTCTTACTATAACTCACCTCCCTGCAATAGCACACCAGCCCTATACATCAGTGAACTATCTATAACCATATTTATTATCCCAAGTTTTTACAGTCAAAGAAATAAGCTTTAGCCAGGCATGACTGCAACTACTTTCATGGTCCAAGCTACCCAGGAAGTCAGAGCAGGAGGAAAACTTGTGCTCGCAAGATCAAGCCCATCTGGACAACACAGTGGGAGAAAGAAAGAGAAGGTGCTGGAAACACAAAGGTCACAGGTCCTGATCACAGAGCACTAGGGAAGCCATGAATACTAAACATTGAGGGTTGTCTTTTCAAGGAAAGAGATGTATAATCTGTTTTCTGCCCAGAAGGCTGGGATTAGAGGTGGCTAGTAGCCTAGGTGATCCATGCACTATTTGTAGGACCAGGACATACCAAGCTCGTACAAGCAGGACTGGAGATACTAATACTCTAAGTGACCTTTGTGTTATTAGTATGGCAAGGGGCTCTCCCAAGCTCCCACAGGACTGGAGGTGGCTAATAACCCAGATGACCTCTGCCCTATCTACATGACCTAGAACACACTAGATCCTCCCCTAGGCCCTTAGGATAACTCATGTAGCTTATCTATAGAACCCATCTTCACGGGAAGAAATGACATGTACTTTGAGAAGCATTTCAATATAATTATGCCCCCTTGAGCACAGGACACTGTGTTACACCAGGAAACTTTCCCCCAAATGGTGCTTTACTTAAATGCCTAAAACAACCTGCCCAGTGTCAGCCTCTAGAAGCTTGAACCAACACTGGCTACTGAGTCGTGTTGGACTGGATTTCCTTCTAGTCTCAAATGGAACATTACTCCGCTGGCACTAGTGTTTGCAGAGACCCCACAAGAAGGGTGGGGAGAAAGACGAAGAGAAGAAATGAGGGCAGAATGGACAAACTGAGCTTTAAAGAAAGAAACTCTCCTAGGTCAACAGTCTTGCCAGCTGGAACATAATCTCACTCAGCTCAGGCTGGAGATGAAGCTCAGTGGTGCAGCCCTTGCCTAGTGCATATGAGGTTACTCTAACCTCAGCACCAAAGGGGAGGGGGAAACGCTCATGTTCCTACCCCCACGCTATGTACATACCCAGTACAGTAAGAAGACCACTCTAAAAAAATTCACAGTAATTTTTAATCATTAAAATCAGTATTTTATCTTTTAAAGATAAAATCGGAAAATGGCCCAGGTATGTAGTTGGGTGGTAGAGAATGTGTTTATGTCCTGTAGTAATCAATCCTCAGCACAAAAGAAAACCAACTCAGAAAATGCAGCTGACAAGTGAGTGAGTGAGAAAACACTGAAAGTGTCTCATGAATCCGGAGGTGAATCCTGTCAACCACCTTCTCTATGAACTACATTAAAAGTCATCACCAGACTCAGTATTTTCAACTCTTACTCATGTAATTAATCAATTCCTCGGATAATCTAGGGTTTTTGCAGTTCTTAATTATATGATAATGTATGATTCAGAGCAAAACTGTTTTATAAAGCTTTCATTATTTTCTTAGAATAAATTCCCAGGAGTAGTATTGATGAAAATCAAAGGCACACTCTTAGGCATTATGATATTTGTCAAACTGCTTCAAAAAAGTTTCACATTTTTCATTTATTTTTAAACTTCATGGTGATTTGGGACATAAAATTCTTTACCAAACAATAATCTATTTCAGGTTTAGAGAGGCCCACATCATCCTCGTCTATTGTAGTATGTTCAAAGTTTCATTTTTGTTTAATGTTAAAACTTGAATTTATATGAATATTTCATGTGGTCAGTAAGGATCCAGTAATCCTTCCTTCTTTTTTATTCCATTCTAAATGCTCATCTGGCCTCACGGTTTCTGACCTGTATAGTGCAATCCATATAACACTCCTTATAGACTCATCGTTCTTATTCATATTTGAGCTGCCTCTCTTTTAGAAGAGAATTTATTCTTCCAGATTAACTTTATATTTTGTCAGGCCACTCCTCTACCAAAAACATGGGTCTTCTGAAAGGAACTTTCTAACATACTCAAATTAATTTAGAAAGTTAACATATCCTTATTAAAGTATGATTCCAGCCAAACTTCTCTAGATCTACATAGAAGTACTAATGCTGGACATTTCGGAGTTTAATCTTACATTATTACAGTAATGTTCAACATAATAAAAATATAATTTACTACAATATAGTAGAATATGTACTTAAAATGTCATTTACTTACTATAACTCAATTTCTTTTACATTTAAACTCTTGGGTTTTCTTACTGTGGCAGTACATATATAAATTATACCACACTAGTCATTACGTGTACAGTTAAGTGACATTTACATCACTGGACAACTGTCACCACCATTCATTTCTGTAACTGAGGGCCTTTTATTTTAACAGAGTTTTTAGTAATGGTAAGAATAATCTCAAATTCACATTCTGAGCAGCAGTTACTCTTCTATTACTTCCAGTAGGCTGTTTAGTAAGTTCTCTTTTAAGGTTTAGGCACAAGGAGCCAGTGACACTCCAGTTCCTGTGGCGGACAGAACAGAGTCCCATAACCCAGAACCCCAAAATTCATGAAAGGAAATTTATTGTTGTGACTGTAAGCTGTAATCATATTTTATTTACAAACTAAAGATAGTTAGTGCAATTTTACTGATTTCCATATAAATAAAGCTCTTATCATTCATTGTTGCCATTAGTAATGATGTGTATATTCCTATACACACAAATTTATACCCACACATGCATACGTCATATGTGAAGACACACATAGACACCCCTACCTATCTTCCACTTCAATCCTACGAAAGATTCATCCTAACTGTACCTTCATTTTATGAAAGAGCAGCTGGAGTTGAGACATTCAGTGACTTGACCAAGGCTGCTCTACTTACAGATGTGTCACCTGGACCTAACCCTTCAGATGCAGCCCAGAGCAGCTTCCTGTACTGCACTGCACTGCCCTTACCTTTTCCATCTCTGCAGGAAAGCTGAAACAGGGAGGCAGAGCTTCAGCTTGCCTGGGAACATGCAACCAAAGTCTTTGGCAGTAAAGGACTAAAAATTCTGAGGAATGATTTTAGAATCTGAAACAACTTTCAGCCAGTAGCCAAGTTCAGATATGGATATATGAATACATGGAACTGACTCAACTTTTATCAAACCTTGGAATGTAAGGTATTATATATCAGTACATAGATATTGAGATGTACACTTCAGTTTACCTGCTAGTGTCCTACCAAGTCTACATACTGAAGTACTAACTTTACTATCAGCTTCCTTATTTCTCCTTAAATTTTTATTATCAGCTGTATTTATTTCTCCTTTGTATTACAGAAAGGCCATTTATCCCCTAAAGTATGCATTATGAATTTCATTTCAAGTCAGTAAAGGAGAACTACAAAATATTGCCTGGCAGTGGTAGTGCACGCCTTTAATCCCAGCACTCGAGAGGCACAGAAAGGCAGATCTCTGTGAGTTTGAGGCCAGCCTGGTTACAAAGCCAGTCCCAATGACAGCCAGGGCTGTTACACAGAGATACCCTGCCTCTGAAGGAAAAAAAAATTACTACAGAAAATCTGAGCTTCCTAGAGCTATACACTAAGGTCCACCCTGTTCTGAGTATATAGAGCTCTTGTTTATGACTACACCAATGACCACTGAGACTCAGCAAAGGTGGTAGGCATCTCTAGCTAGAGTTTCAATTCCTACTTTCTCTTCAATGATCAACCACTGTTAGTGAAATGTTTTCTAGACTTAAGCTACTAACAGGTATCACCAGGTACAGAGGTAAAACGTTAGCAAAGGCACCGCTACCCACCTCCAGAGTCTTGCTGTCTATACAAACCATTTTCTTGTAGTCTCTTCAGTGATGAGCTACATTAACACGTTAACACGTTAACACTGAGCTACCTCTTCACTCTGCAAACACACTCTATCTGTTCTCATGGCACTGTCCTGTTAAAGTGGAGTGGGTATGTAGAATTTCCTCTATGGTGAGGTGGATCCAGATGATGTGTCTTATTCAACTCTTATCTGAATTTTGCTTCCTTCAGTAACTAACCACATGGTATTTTCTTCTTTCAGCGCTCAAGGGAACTGTTCCTTGAACGGTTGATAAAAAACTCACCTGTAAAAACTTTGTGAATGGACAGTTCTCTGATAACTTTTAATTCTTCCCAGGGTAATTGGTCTACTCAGGCTTTCTTCTTCGGTCAATTTTGATAATTTATATTTGCCTATAAAATGATCCATTCCATCAAGATGTTCAATTTATTAGCACAAAGTAAACCCAGAATAAAAGTAAAAATTTCAAGCATATGATAGTTGCATTTTGATTTCTAAAAGGAATTTAAAGAATTGCTTCTTCTAGGATGGTTTGTTTTATTGATCTTTTAAGGAAAACAGATTATGAATTCATCAACTTTTCTACTTTTAACTCACTACTGTCTTCATTTGCCTATTTAATTTCTCTAGTGCTCCTTCTATGTTCATTTTCTACTTACTTGGATTAAATACTTAAATCATTTGTTCCTATTCTTATATGCCAAATCATTTGTTCCTACTCTTATTTTTCCTTTGTGTGCAGCTATGGCCTCATCCTGTATTAAGCAAACTATAAAATGAAATAGTGGTTAACTACCTCTCAAGACGAGGCTAAAGGCTAACCACTAACGGCCGCCCACCACCCCCATGCCAAGCCCCCACTCGGACAGATACCTGATTCTGTCACTTGTTCCACTATAGCCCCAGCGGCTCTCTACTTGCTGGAATCGATTGATGCAGCATTCCTTCCCTCTGAGGCAGCATCGTGGTCGATCAATGTATTCTACTCGGGGTTTAGGATTGACAGTAAAATGAAGAAAGAGGTTTACCACTTCACGATCTGACAAAATTCCAGACTGAGCAGGACCTGTAGAAATAGAAAATAAACTTAGCATATAAAATTTTGCATACATTTGAAGTTTTGATCAATCCTTGAGGCTAATCTGAAAGAATGTGTTAAGATAAATGAAAACTTAGATGGAACTCCACCGTAACAAATAATTTTTCTGTCTTCTCTCCTGAGTACCACAGACTTCCATTCAACAAAAGCAGCATTCTCTCTGTGGCAAATCATTTCCAGGACAGACAGGTACTTGTGACCCTCCAGCTCCCACTTCCTACTTGTCTGAAGCTATAATCTGAACAAGGGACATTTCAGCACAGAACAACAGAGAATAAAGCTTTATTTCTGAGATTTAGAAGCTAACAGAAGGTGAGAACTATGGTTGGGAACTATGGAAATAGAAAACTACACAGTACAGTTTCCCAACTCACTATTTCTTATTGGAGAAAAATACCAAATACTTTATAAACTTACCAGAATTAATGCTGCTCCTTCATAAAAGAGGCCAGGAGATCCCTTGCAAAGCCAGTAAAACAATGAAGTAAGAGATTTCAAAATACTAGAAAATTTGGATTAAAAAGCCAATGTGATTTTAAAACACAGAATTATAAAAAATTCTGTATGAGAGCCAAGTGCATGCCTGTAATCCCAGAACTTGGGATATAGAAGCAACTGAACTTCTGTAAATTCAAGGTCAGTACACTTCACATAGCAACTTCCCAGTCACACTAACTACATAGTGAGACCCTGATTCAAATAAATAAATAAATTTAAAAATCACATACAAATGACAAAATGTACTGGCTTGACATATACGATGCAAGCTTTACTACTTGTAATCTCTGGATAAGGAAAGCGTACAAAGCAAGCAATCAAGAAAGAGGACGAGTGGGGAAGGAAGGAAGGAAGGAAGGAAGGAAGGAAGGAAGGAAGGAAGGAAGGGAGGGGGGAGGGGGGAGGGAGGGAAGGAAGGTAGTAAGAAACAGAATTGAACCTATGCATGATGAAACAAGAGCTGGATAAAAATTCCCTCCAGATGGATTAAAATTTTAAGGATATGGGCCGAGGAGATGCCTTAGTCTATAAGGTTGAACCCCGGCACCCACGTAAGAAGCCAGGGATGGTGGTACATACTTACAATCCCGGCATGGGGAGGCAAAGCCAGGCAGAGTCCAAGTTAGAGACTGTCTCAAAAAGAAAACCAATGTGGACACTTCCTAAGGAACTGTAGTGGGTAGCCATTCCAGCTTTGATCTGGAAGTTCCAACCCCCATTGAGGCTTCAGTAACTGTCACACCTTGTAGGCGGGCCGAGAGAGAACCCTGAAGACCCGAGATCCGGATGTGCTGGCTCTCTTGGTTCCTGGACCCTGGACGCTGGAGGTAGACCGAGCAGAGTTCTCCAGAGAACACCGCCGGACTGTGCTACACCTTTCTCAGACCGTTACCTATCCCTTCATTTGTGAGTTACCCCACAAAATAAACCTCCCTTTTAACTACGTGGAGTTACCTCAATAATTTCACCAATATCTGGCACCCAACGTGGGGTACGGACTCATGACCCTGAGATTAAGAGTCTCATGCTCTACCGACTGTCCTTCTGAGGTCTTTGATGTAGTTGAAGACTGAAGTTATAATTGTCCTTAGTTATGAAAAGAGATAAATTAGATATGAAACCTTAGACTCACAAACATAGGACAGATAGGATAGCTTCTTAATTTTGCCAAATACAGACTAGATATTATAAATAGACTAGATAGTATAACTGTAATTCTTGCTTGATAATTGTTTTGTTATCTGTAATTTTACTATGTCAAAGTTAAAACCTTGCTTTTTGAAAAAAAAAAAAAAAAACAAAGAAAAGGGGAAGTGCTGTGGGATGTTCTGTATGTTAAATGTGTTGCTCTGATTGGTTAATAAATAAAACACTGATTGGCCAGTAGCCAGGCAGGAAGTATAGGCGGGACAAGGAGAGAAGAGAATTCTGGGAAGTGGAGGCTGAGGAGAGAGACACTGCCAGCTGTCGCCATGACAAGTGAGATGTAAGGTACCGATAAGCCACAAACCATGTGGCAACTTATAGACTAATTTAAGATATAAGAACTAGATAACAAGAAGCCTGCTGCAGCCATACAGTTTGTAAGCAATATAAGTCTCTGTGTGTTTACTTGGTTGGGTCTGAGCAGCTGCGGGACTGGCGGGTGAGAGAGATTTGTCCTGACCATGGGCCAGGAAGGAAAACTCTAGCTACAAGGAACAACACTCAAGGCTGACCTCTGGCTGCTGCTGCTTCTTTTCTTTTTTTTTTTCTTTTTGTTGTTGTTGTTTTTCAAGACAAGGTTTCTCTGTGTAGCTTTGCGCCTTTCCTGGAGCTCGCTCTGTAGACCAGGCTGGCCTTGAACTCACAGAGATCTGCCTGGCTCTGCCTCCCTAGTACTGGGATTAAAGGCGTGTGCCACCACCGCCCGGCTGACCTCTGGCTTCTACATGTTTGTGGGTAACATTGCAACACACACACACACACTTTTTAAGGTTAAAAATGCATGATAATTCAAACCTATAGCATGAGAGTTTTCCTTAGTTGAAAAGAAAGTCTTTACTGGGTGGTTGTGGCACATGCCTTTAATCCTAGCACTCAAGAGCAGAAGAGCAGATGCAGGCAGATCTCTGAGTTCAAGATCAGCCTAGTCTACAAAGTGAGTGCCAGAATAGCCAGAGTGACACAGAGAAAACAAAACAAAACAAACAAAAAAGAAAAAACAGGAAGTCTTCAGGTCATGAAAAACATGTAACAGCTTAAAGAAAATAAAATAGCATTCACTAAAATTAACAGAGGGGTAAATCAAAAAATTAAATGTCTGTTGTATAAAAGTACCCCTAATACATCATCAACAACCTACTGGAAAGTAAAGTAATGTAAAATCCTAGAGTACCTGACAAAAGGTATGTATCCTTCTAAAGAGGTCATAAAAAGACTGGCCAAGGGAAATAATGTAAGCCAAAAGGACACAGGATCACGTCGATATAATAGATGAAAAACTGTTAAACTGAATTGTATTTCCAGAAACATATCCTTGAAAACTGAGAGCAGGAAAAGATGTTTACAGATGAACACAGGGGAGAAGACTCTGACAGCCAAATACCTGCTGTGAGAAATACTCATTGTTTAGCTTGATGGATGATCCCAGATAGAAGCACAGCAATCATCAGAAAGGATAAATTCACAGGTAATCTAAAATGACTACTGATTTTTAAGATAACATCATCTTATGGGCTTTAAAATATATGTATGGTGATATTTTATTTGTATTAAAATGTTATTTGTATGTTAATATGTAAGGTTGCCCGGGGTCAGAGCTATTAGCAAGCCATAGGAAAACAGGGCAGTGGTGGCCTACGCTTGTAATCCCAGTACTTGGTAGGCAGAGCTAGGTAAGTCTCTGTGTGTTCAGGAATACAGCTAGTATTGGATACACGTGCCTTTAATCTCAATACCAACCATAGAGAACCTGGAGGTCTATACAGACAGGCCGTGATGAGGCGGTCATGTGGTTGGGTTTACAACCAATGAGAAGGTAGAACAGAAACTCTATATAAAAGACTAACACAGGAAGTAGCTCTGGTTCAGAGAGGTAGGACCACCGCAGGAGGAAGGGTAAGGTTTTAGCTCTTAGCTCTGACCTCTTGGCTTTCTTCTTTACATTGGTTCTGTGTTTCTTATTTAATAAGACGGTTGGTTACATCTACATATATGAAGAGTTAAAGTACATTAAATGGCAACAAATACTGAAGAGTTAAGTATTAGTAAAATCTTTTGTACTGCATGGGAAATTTTAATTTGAAATTTTTAATTTTTAAGAATTACCTTTAAAATCTCATAAGGAAGCATTTGTATATTATCAAGTAACCCACCAAAAGAATAGTGAATGATACTGATTTCTCTTTATTTGCTTAACTTTTCTTGCTTTCACTAAAAAATAGTAAAAGAATGTTTACCAAGCAACAAAATACCAGAAATCACTTGGTTCCTCCAAAAGAAAAAGGGGGAGAAGGAGGAAACAAACAAAATCCACTACAAACCCACAGCTGAGTCAAGAACAAGTAGCAAGATGGTAAACCAAGTGTACCAATGACCTACTGAATGTAAACCGAATGTACCAATGACCTACTGAATGTAAACCAAATGTACCAATGACCTATTAAATGTAAATCAAATGTACCAATGACCTACTGAATGTAAACCAAATGTACCAATGACCTATTAAATGTAAATCAAATGTACAATGATCTAATAAATGTAAACCAAATATTCCAAGCAAAAGATAATGCTTAAATTGGATGCCTTAAAAAAATGCAACTTAGGCCGAGCAGTGGTGGCACACGCCTTTAATCCCAGCACTTGGGAGGCAGAGACAGGCGGATCTCTATGAGTTCGAGGCCAGCCTGGTCTACAGAGTGAGATCCATGAAAGGCGCAAAGCTACACAGAGAAACCCTGTCTCAAAAAACCAAAAAAAAAAAAAAAAAAAAGCAACTTATATGAACATAACTGATATACAAAGACAATGAAAACCTAATAAAAGGAATGGGGAAATATAGAATACAGTTTGGAAAGACGGTTTAATAAGTAATAGCATTTAACTACTCTTGTAGAGACCTGGTTTGATTCCCAGCTCCAAGGGGATTCAACACCTCGGCCTCCTTGGGCATCTGCACTCATATGCATATACCTCTCACATACATACAATTAAAAATAATAAAAATAAATCTTTAGAAAATATAGACTACAAAAAAGCTTTTCAAAAAGACCGTAAAACTACATTAGTGTCAAAGATGTAAAAAAAAAAAGCTTTACTAGATTTAAAGTGGGATATATCATAAAGGAATAAATTACAAAATTTAATGTACCTAATGATAGAATCTTAAAATATACAAATAAAAGATTTATGGAACCAAATAAGGACTTATTTTCAACCAAAACCCAAAGCCTGAACCTATTTCTCTTAGTAATGGACAGGACAAAAGGAAACAGGAGGTACACACAAATTTTGAACACTATTTTTAGATTATTTATTTTGTAGATACAGGATAATCAAGTTGTTAGGCAAGTATAGAACTCATTAGATTTTTCTGTACTCAATGACTCAGAATACAATCAACTTAGAGTATTGATATTTATGTTGGGACATAAAACAAGTCTCAACAAATTTCAAAGGACTGAGATGACACAGGATTTTCTAACCACACTGGAATTAAGAGGAAAAAAAATAGAATGCTCAAATATTTGAAAATTAAAACATATACCTATAATCACAGCTCTGAAGAGAAAATTCTCCCACAAAATTAAAATTGGGTTTTTAGTTGTTGCTGCTGTGGGTTAAACCCAATCCCATGTATATGCTGAGAAGTCCTCCAAGGTTTAAGATGAAATAAACCCTTTTCTCCCCAAGTTGCTTTTGGTCATGTTTTCAATCACAGCAGTAGAAAACCAACTACCTGCATAATGATGCAGAGTGTTAAGAGAAGATGGTCATGTGAATAACAGCCATACACATGTTATTCTATGTGTATGACTGTTTTGTCTAAATGTATGTCTGTTCATTATGTGCATGCCTGGCACTCATAGGGGACAGAAGAAGGCATCAGGACCCTTGGGGTTATAGTTACAGACTGTTGGCAACTTACCATGTGAGTGCTAGTCACACACATGTGAAGAGTCAGACTGAAGTTAAGTGTCTTAACTTCGTTCTCCAATGTTAGAAGAACTTAGTTCTTTCACTCTGGAAAACTGACAGGATAAACTACTGCTAATCATATTCATTCTGAACTTAGTAATTCTACTCTTCTACGTCCAACAGAAATATTTATATGTACACCAAATGACATATATATGGATGTTCTTTTGAATTTTATGAGTTTATTCTATGTGTATGACTGTTTTGTCTAAATGTATGTCTGTTCATTATGTGCATGCCTGGCACCCATAGGGGACAGAAGAAGGCATCAGGACCCTTGGGGTTGTAGTTACAGACTGTTGGCAACTTATCATGTGAGTGCTAGTCACACACCTGAAATTCAAAATCAGGTCTGTCTCATTTTAAGCAGAAGTAGCACCCATAAAGGCCAAGAAGATTTGTCCCTATAGACTTGGACAAGGCACTTACCTTTTCTATTTACTTCTCTAAGCTATAAAATGTGGATGTTATCTTAAATTGAAATTATACACAAATATATTTATTTTGTAACTAGTACTTAGTAAATCATAGCTTCTCTTCTGCTCTGGAAATAGTTTCAAATTAGTGAAGTTACAGCCTTACCTGCTGCAAATTCCTCAATTGTCATCAGTGGGAACCGGATTAAGGAAAGTGCTTTTCCTAGAACTTTCTGTTTGTTTCCAAACGTCACAGGCAATTGTTGTCTCTGACATTCTGCTTCTGCCCAACGTACAATAGCTCCAAAAAGTCGACTTTCTCGAATACTTAATGTGTCTCTTTCTAGAACTGCACAGAGTGTATCTACAGAGAAAATACAATAATAAAGAACATTTTGCTCTTTAATAAAGTATTGTTTATGTTAAGTTCTTAAAACTCAGCTAAATAAAGACCACAAAAAAACAAAAGCCAACAAAACTTCAGACTAGATACTTAAACCTATTAATAAAAAACTAGGATTTCCAGGTAAGATGGTAGATTAACAGCATCCTCTGTGCAACCCAGTGAAAAGGAACCGGGATAAAAACAATAAACTTTTACAACAGAAAGAACTGAAGAAAAAGGAACCAAGACTAAGATGAGACCTCTGCAGAGCACTCACTCTGCCAGGGAGTACTCTTTCCTATGGACACAGGCACCGCAACAATCGAGAACAGAGAGCAGACATGACCAGGGGCTGGACAGTGAGTGGAGAGATGGCCTGGGTAACACTGGCTGTGGGGATAGAGGCAGAAGTGTAGCAGAGGAGCCTCATGCTGAGATTCTCCAGCAGAGCTCTGAAGTGAACATCCTGGAAGAAACCACCCTCATCAGGCCTGGCCGAGACAGACAGAGGAGGCAGCAAGAGCGCTGCTGAACTTGCTGCAGTCTCCTTGTGCAGGTAGGAGGAGACTGGACACACCGGAGGTCATTACTCACAGGTAACTGACTGTGGGACTGGCTCAGGCGGTGGGAGCAGTGTGGGACAGGACCTCAGCCTTCCAGAACCCTGCGACAACTCGCCTATTCTGTTTAGTGAGTGATCTTTTCTGACTTACCTCCTAATAAATTCCTTATAACTCTTCATCAGACTCCCTTGGATTTCTCGATGTAACTGAACCCTCAAACACTAGACATGACAAGTTGTAACTAATGTGGGGTAGAAATGGAGTCTCTGGAAGCAAAGTGAAGCCCCTACTAGTCCTCCCCACAGCCCCCACATGTAATCCCTCACAGCAGGAACATCAACCTGTTTGAAAGACCGAGACTATCAGTCTTCCCGCAACCTGTAGGGACTGCTACAGAAGACATCAGATGGGAAGGAGAAACTATCTTCATCCCAATTGGGAAGAAGTAATAATTATGGTCCTAATACCTTCAATTTGACTTTAGTGCTCACTGTTATTCTTTATTTTACCTATTATTCCTATTTTTCTACTTTGGTTGTTGTTTTATCATCTATCTGGCCTGAACAGGCTTTTATCATTCTTTCTCTGCACCTACTCTGTATTATTTTATTATTTCCCATACTCCTGACCCACATACTTTCCCTCTCAATCACACTTTATTCTCCTACTTTTCTCTTTTCTATTACCTCCTCATTCTACAACCTAATCATAATCTTAGCTATAAAAATCTATGAACTACATTTTTTCCCCAATCAGTACAATCACTGCTGTTTCTGAGCCTTCTCATGAAGAATGTCTTCTGTTACAGATTAACACCATGGCTGCTGTCAAGTTTGTGTTAATGCAACTGGCTTCCACACTAAATAGAAGCAGGAAACATAAATCCCATGAATATAATTTACCAGAAAGTCTTAAATAACAACTGGAAGACTACTCCAACCAACACACAAGAAAGAAAGAAAAAGCATGAGAGAACAAGCCCCTCTGACACTTTCACAAGTTCACCACTCCTCAAATAGAGAGAACCAAAGTTTAATGAGCTTGCTGAAACGCCAGAAAACCATTTTAGATTCCTACTCTGAAAAAGCATCAACAAGGGGCGAGGGAGAAGGGTCATCAGTAAAGTACTTGTTCTGCAAGCATGAAATCCTGAGTTCAGATCTTCTCATGGAAAATGCAAGGTGTGGCAGCACGGCTCTGTGAACCCAGTGCAGGAGAGTCAGAGACTAGCTGGAGTAGCCAATGAGTGATTTCCAGTTTCAGTGAGAGACATTTTCTCAAAAAATAAGGTGAAGAAGTGACTGAGAAATACCAGACATTCATTTTTGACTGACAGACAGTCAGACAGGCACGCACGCACGCACGCACGCACGCACGCACGCACGCACGCGAGGTCAATGGTCACATAGAGACTCAAACGGATGAATGAGGTAATAAGCAAATCAATTCAGGACCTAAACACAGCACAAAAAGTATCAAAGCACATGTAACAGTCAGTTATTTGGAGGTAAAAATAAGTTAAAAAACAAAAATTCTGCAAGGAAACTTAACTAAATGAGTTAACTAAATACAACACACTGCAGAAAGCATCTTCAGAAGGCATAACTGAGTAAAGGAAAGAATATCAAGAATGGAGGACCAGGTGGAGACAATAATACAGACATGCAGACCAACTGCACAGAATAAAAGAAAATGTAATACACACATAACTGAATTTACACATAAAAAAATAAAATAAAATCAGCCTGGCGGTGGTGGTGCACGCCTTTTATCCCAGCATTTGGGAGGCAGAGGCAGGCAGATCTCTGTGAGTTTGAGGACAGCCTGGTTTACAGAGTAAGTTCCAGGACAGCCAGGACTAGACAGAGAAACTCTTCTCGGACCTCCACCCCCCCCCCCCAAAAGTCATATTTGCAGGAAAATGGATGGGACAGAAAACCATCTCATTAAATGAAACAAGCCGGACTCAGAATGACCAACAGTGCTTGCTCCCTTACATGGTCCTAAATTTTCTGTGCATGTATGTACGTATATAACTAGAAAGGGGACCATGGAACAATAAGAACAGGAGGGAGAAAGAGCAACTAATGGAATGTATGTGCCTTGAAGCTGAAGAGAAGAGGCTTGCTGGGAAGAGAAAAGGGACCAGCAAGAGGAGGAAGAGGGATGGGTTTTAGTGGGATGGGATTGAGGAGGGAATGCCATAACAAAACCCACTACTCCGTATTAACCAATTAATAAAAAATTGACTGTATCTTTAAAATACTAAAAAACTAAAGAAATTAAATTCTAGTGTTCGTTTAAAAACTGTGTGTGTGTGTGTGTGTATGAAACTGTCAACAAATAAAAGATAAACAGGCAACTTATCACAAACTCCTACCATATCATGCCATTTATTGAGCATGTTAGATAGCCAGAATATTACTAGTAAGCAACAAAAAGGCACTAAGTTACTCACAAACACTAATGAAGACTACAGATACAATCCATTCAGCAAGTACTTATTCTGAAGCATCATTCACTATTGCTAGGTACTCTGCACTGATAAATTACTGAATAAAGTTAAAAGTCCTTGCTATCACAGAACTTACATTCTAATGAGAAGAGGCTTAAATAAACAAAAGTTGTGTCAGATGAAATTTGTAAAACAGCAGGAGAAGAGTCAGAAATGTTGTTTAAGATTGGAGGGTCTGCAGAAGTCTCCAAGTTTCCAAGGCTTGCAAGAAATGGGAAGTAAACCAAAGAGATTTCAGAGAGTCATTCCAGACTCTGTGTGTGAATGTTCCCATGTGGAAATTATTTGGAATATCTGAGGGTCAGCAAGGAGACTGATGTGGTTAACAGTGAGCAAAAAAAGGTGGAAAACCATAGAGGAGCAGAGTAGGTCACCTAGTGTTTAAGTGGGAATCCCTGGAGGGTTCTGAGACATAAAAGCTTATATTCTGAAAGGATTAGTCTGACTATGGTAGGGTCTTGTTTTGTTATGTTTTGAGTAAGTATGATGTATTTAGTGGTTTGAATAAGAATGGCCCCCATAAGCTCACATATTTGAAAGCTTGGTCATTAGGAAGTGGCACTATTTAATTCAAGAAATCCACGGGAGTCTGGTTAAAGAGTATTAGGGAAACTTATTAGGGTAAATTGAGGACATACACTCACGAATACAAAATGGAGTAGACAGCTGAAGTCATCTTCTGATCTGACTGGAAGTGAATCCACCTGGCAGTTCAATCAGACCAGGAAGCAGACAGCAGGGAGAAGGGGCTCCTGACCATTCTCCCTTTCCTTTAAGAGGTCAGTACAACGGCAGGAAGCACTGGTCATGGGTGGAGCAAATACCACTACAACTATTAGAGAAGGATCAGGAGCTGTGGCCTTGTTGCAGGAAGTGTGTCACTGGGGGTGGGCTTGGAGGTTTCAAAAGCCCAAGGCCCAGCATCTCAGCTTGTAGATCAGAATGTGGCTCTCATCTACTGCTCCAGCACCATGCTCTCTGCCGTGATGATAATGAACGAAGTCTCTGAAACTGTAAGCAACTGCCCAATTAAATGCTTTCATTTATAAGAGTTGCTTTGGTCATGGTGTCTCTTCATAGTGATGTAATAGTGACGTATGTATGTATGTATGTAAATATGTATGTATTTTTGAGACAGGTCTCACTAGGTAGCCCAGACTGGCCTCAAATTTGTCATTCTCCTGCCTCTGCCTTCTGAGTGCTGGGATTACAGGTGTACCTCAACATCTCTACCTATGACTATTGTATTGAGAAGAGACTGTGGTGGAGGCAGGAATAAAAGTGTAACCAGTTAGGAAGCTATAGTACAAACCCAGGTCAGAGTTGACAGTAGCCTGGACCAGGATGGCAGATGGAGTATCAAAAACTGATCAGATTCTGGATATATTATGAAGGAGAACGCAATGGAGATTTCCTGACAGCTTGGCTATAACAAGATACAAAGGAAGGACTCAGGGATAACGGCAAGTAAGCAGAGGGATCAGGAGGTATTAACTGAGATGGGGAAGACTATAGGAGGAAGAGCCTTAGGTTAGAGAAAGAGCTGAAGTTTAATTTTGGACACATTAAGTTTAAAATTCTGTGTAACATCCAAGTATAAATGTCAAGTCTGCACCACAGGTCCTCATTCAGACTTCTTTTCCTCTTATCATAGGCAGACTATTAAAATAAGGTCAGTTATTTTTAAGCAATAGCAGCCCAGAAGTAGTAAGTTCAAAGGAAAAGGGACCTTTAGAAGCAAGCATACTAGAATACAATAAGCTGCAGTTTAACAAAGAGGAAACATGTAAAAAGTAGACATTCATACTTGATAAGCAAAGCAATCTTGTCTTATACAAGAGCTCAAAAAAATAAATAAGTAAAATACTTCAGAGTCCCTAAATGTGTCACTCTAGAGTAAG